CCGGCCGACAGCTTGCTTCTGACAGCTGGGCGGAGCCAGACGTGATCTTATGGCTGGCTCCGGCCACTTGCAGAGAGATCAGTGTCCCTGGTTACCTGCTAACCAGGGACACTGATCACCAAACAGCAATCTCTCCCGGGCGCTCCAGGAGTCTCCCGCTCCCGGCCGCCAAGGAGAGAAACACTGCTTTTTTCTGGGTTTTTTTCTTTATTCTGACACGGAGCCGTGTCAGAATATAATTTTTTTTTTTTAAATGTTTGGCCATAGGAATACATTGCTAGATTCCTATTGGCTATTTCAATTTGCAATAGTCAATAGCAAACTAGCATTGCACCCGCCCTCTGCTGCAGTTCAGCCGACCGGAAGCCACCCGATCTACGGCTGATTTCAGCCGATATACGGCTGAAATCAGCCGTACCAGCCTGAAGTGAATAGTCGAAAAGGCGTTCGGCTCACTTCGCTTTAGGTCGGTCATTCACTCGGCTGCCTACGGCAGCTTAGTGAATAGACCCCTATGTAGCTTTAGGCGATCTTTGAAAGCTCATCTCTTCAGGGAAGCCTATCCCACCTGGATATAATAAATGTCCTTTTACTTCTTCCATTAGCTCATCCCACACAGTCAGGGCCGTCCCTATAATGAGCATGGCTGCTCTGCTGCACATTTGTTTGTAGTGTGCCTGCTGCCCCCTTTCTGCTATGAGCTGGACGGGGAGATGTGTAAGGGCCATACATATCTCTCTGGTCCCACCAAGGTCCTGGCAACCAGTGATATCACTGGATTCCAGGAGCTGAGTGGGACGCTCTGGCCAGTGTCCTGCCTAGCTCCTAACAACCAGTGATGCCAGGAGCTGGGTGGGATGCTGGCCAGAGTCAGAGCTGGGTGAGGAGATGTGAAGGGAAGAACATAAAATTTTTGCAGGAGCAGCTACTGGGAACAGTTTTTATTGATGTAGGCCCTCTACCAGAACTACACCTCCCAAGAGTCTTTTTCCTATACATCATGTTTATGTTCAGCGCATCAGCATTGTGTCACTGGGAAATAATTCAATGTATACATGTGAAGAAGCACAGAGAGAGTGGGGGGATAGGTGGAATCTGGTTGAGATTTCAATGCAGCAAAGGTACCATGTTGTCAGCCCAAACAGTAAGTTAAAAGAGAACTATGGGGTAAGTGTTTTTCCCCATAGTTCTCCTAAGGGTCACGGGAGGACATATACTAGCGTCCTCTTGTGACCCAAAGCTCAGTATATAGCATGCTACAGCTCGCGGTATACTGAGACCGTCGCAGCCGGGACGGATCCCGACATTACTGTTGAGATCCACCCAGCTGCGTGATTGATCTAGAGGCAGAGCCAGCTGTACCCACCCCTCCCCCGTCCGTTCCGCCAGTCAGCGCTGGAGGATCAGAGCGGAGGAAATCCCTGCAGGGAGCCGTGAGTGACAGTCACTCACGGCTCTCTGCAGGGAGAAGATCGAGAAGTGAGCGACGGTATGTGTTCGCTCACTTCCCGATCTATTGAGCCGACGTGCGACAGTCTCATTGTCACAGGTCAGCTGGAACTATGAGGTTGAGTGAAAATCACTTACCTCATAGTTCTCCTTTAATGGCACACATTGAATTTCCTTACAGATAAAATAGGCATGTTTTGCATAGATATATTGAAGGTATTTATTATTTTGCCCCGACATACACTTCCACATACAGTAGATCAATTGCAAACCTTGCTTTCATTAACTGCTGAAAATTCAGACCTGTTTCAGAGGCAAATAAAGTTAAACCACTCACAAAAAAATGTCCTTGTTTTAAGGCGAGCAATAAAACATATAAATCACATTAAAACACAAATATACAACACAGATCCATTTCAGACCCGGCTTTGTATAATCTTTTTCCATTATCAAAGTAGAACGGACTGGTAAGTAGTTTCCTCTGCTGTATGTGGGCTGCCCTGGCTGACCTACTTTCGAAACAGATTGACCTACATATAGGACAGCAGACTTTTAAGGCGACCACAACACAAAGCGTTTCCGCGTCAATCTGTCAACGCCGCCACACCATAGTGGCACACAGGCAGATTGCAGTCTCAACTGCTGTTTCTTCCAAAACATCCACACAAGCTGTTTTATGACCCTCCATTGTACCATTGCAATTTTATCTTTGTGTCTTTTAAAATAAAAAACAATCTGCACTAGGTTGGGCGCCCTTCTGTCCTTTTTTGTATTCCAGTTTTACAGTTTCTCCCGGCTGAAGCACCCCTAGTTGTTTTTACTTAATCATCAGGATCCCAGCACAGCGCTTTAACTTTACTATATTTGAGTAGTAGATAGGGGCTATCTCTCAACGTGTGGATGCCCTGCATTAAAAAAAAGGCATGATTCTGTGACAGAATCACAGTTTGCCGGGCCATCCAAAACTTAAAGCTCTATCATGCAAAGAAGAAGCCATATCTGTACGTGATCCAGAAACGCCGCCATCTTCTCTGGGCCAAATCTCATTTAAAATGGTCTGTTGCAAAGTGGAAAACTGTTCTGTGGTCAGACAAATCGAAATCTGACATTCTTTTTGGCAACCATGGGTGTCGTGTCCTCCGGACTAAAGAGGAGAGGGGCCTGCTGGCTTGTTATCAGCACACAGTTCAAAAGCCTGCATCTCTGATGGTATATGGGGGTGCAATAGTGTGTATGGAATGGTCAGCTTGCACATCTGGAGAGGCACCATCAATGCTGAATGATATATCCAGGTTTTAGAGCAGCATATGCTTACATCCAGATGATGTCTTTTTCAGGGAAGGCCTGTTATATTTCGGCAGGACAATGCTAAATCAAAAACTGCATCAATGACAACAGCATGGCTTCATAGAAGAGCCCGGGTGCCTAACTGGCCTGCCTGCAGTCCAGACCTTTCACTTATTGAAAATATTTGGCGCATCTTGAAACTAAACATACAACAAGGATGACCCAGGACCGTTGGACATTTAGAATCCTATATCAGGCCAGAACGG